CCGGCTGAAAGTTCATCCAGGCAGATATACTAGATTAATAGGAGGAGAAAAAAGGGGGAGAGGAAGATTTTTCGAATATAATATTAATATATAATTATATAGAAATATGAAAATATACTCTAAATTTTTTATAACCAAAATGGACCATTAAAGTTTTTTCTGGATTTATTATTATAATGCTTTTGTAATTTAAATTTACGTTGAGCTCTCTTTGAATTAATATCCTCCTTGTCATTATTTCTACCAGTCACAAATTGGTATTATTAAATATATATATATATATATATATATATATATATATATATATATATAAAGAAATATAGTCTTAAGGTGTGTGCTATATTTATGGAATAAAGTGCTCAATATCAGAGATAGAGCGTGTGTAAATATAAAAGTGAACATTGAAGTCAACATTTAGAGGCGACAGTCTTTTTCATGCTATATGCAATCGTCAGGCCACATATGCTGTTATTTTTCGCGGCTATTTATATGTATACGGGTTAGTGGTGCATTGTGGGTATTCTATTATGTCGCCTCTAAGTGTTGACTTCTATGTTTTATATTTATATATATATATATATATATATTGGCAGTAACCTTTCTTTCATATATATATATATATATATATATATATATATATATATATATATATATATATATATATATTGTTAGTAACCTTTCTTTTAGATATATATATATATGTATATATATATATATTGGCAGTAAACCTTTCTTATATATATATATATATATATATTGGGCAGTAACCTTTCTTTTCATACATATATATATATTGTAGTAACCATTCTTTATATATATATATATAAATGTATATATATATATATATATATATATATATATATATATTAGTAACCTTTTTTTATATATATATATATATATATATATATATATATATATATATACACATATATATGTACACACATATATATATACTTACACACACAGACACATATATATACATACACACACACACACACACACACACACACATATATATATATATATATATATATTGCCAGTAACCTTTCTTTTTAAACATCTTTTATTAAATATGACAGGCAAGGAAAATTTAATTAATTTTTTATTCTATTTCTTCTAGCGATTTTTATTTTTCCGTTTCGTGGGAGTGAGTGTGTATAGAAATTGTCCCAAGTGCTTTCGGCGACTTCTTTAGCCATTTTCAAACGGGGGAGGTTGCGCCTTGCTCCTCTAAGTACGCCACCATGTTCTCCTTGGGTTTATCAAGATGAGCATCAAGGGTTGGACTTTGAGGGACATCATTAATTAATCATAGCTAAGAATCGGAAACTCATGAAGTATTGAAATAGAATTTAAATATATATATATATTATTCCAGGATCATTTTCCAACTTTGCCCTCTCTAACCATCTAACTTTCTGTCTGTTGTGGATTCCGAGATGAAATCCGGTCTCAAATGAATGACAAACGCAGGAATGAAATATAGCAAATAAATGTATTGACGTAATAATACAATTGATAATACGGTTAGTAGATCCAGAAACGCGGTTAGTAGCAATAATAATATATATACAGTCTGGGAAATTCAGTATCGAAGTATGGCTTCCTTCTGAGTCTCCATGCTCGCAACTGTGACTCCTACAAAGCGGTTACCTCACACTCTCACTGTATCACTGTATCGGGTATTCACCAGCAGCAGTACAAGTACACACTGGTCGAGTCCACTTGTATGAAAAAGGAGTGGACCCCATAACACTGTCCTGGAGTAACAAGGTGCCTCACAGGTTTCACGTATGATTTCATTTTCAAGTCTTTTTTCATTAATCTTTGGACTGTCATAGCTGAAACTCCTCTCTCACGTGCCAAACGTTTTATGGATTGAGTTGGATCTTTTCTAATTGATATTTATACCTGTAAGTTGAAGTGATGAGCCCTCTTCCTGTTGTGACCTCCTGATCCAGTTTTCCTTTCTAATGTTCCCTCTTTTTTTAAAATTATTCACCGTTCTCTTGATAGTTCTTGAATGAACTTTGAAGATGGAAGCCAGAGTATGAATATTGGTAACATTACTGAAGGCCTAAATGATCTTTTTTCCTCTCACCATTGTTCAGTTGGGAAGACATAGTGGGGCTGATATGAAACGATTTTAAACTCTTCTTTTTCTAGCTGAATATTTCAAACGGTTTTTCAATGATTCTTGCGACAAATGGTGTCAAGATGGCTAAATGCCTTATCTGAAAAACCTGTAAAAATGAAATTCAATTAGTTTAGTGTTTTTTTTTTTTTGGTGTGGGGGGGTAGATATTAAACCTTTTGTAGGGTGGATAATTATGCTGTTACACTCGGAATGCCCACGTTAAAAAGGCCTTGTGCCACATGACACCCTCGTGGGGGTGGGGTGACTGAATATCGTCAAATTTTCGAAGCCTTCTTTCTTCATTATTTGTCCCAGGAATTTCGACTGTCATTTTCTGATCCTAATCACAAGTGTTCTTGTTCCCATTTCTTTCAATCTTTCTGATTGCTAACATTAGGCACACGCAACCTTTTACAAACAGTTGGCCCCACAAGGTACAATGCATCATAAGGCGGGCCGCGCTATTAAAAATAAACGAAGGTAATTTTCCTGCAGCCATTTTCCCAGCAAAGGACCATGCACAAAAGCATCTGCCTTAGAAATGGAAAAATGTCGATTTTTTTTCCTTTGGAGAAAAGATTTTTTCTATACAATTAAAAAAAAAGCTGAGTTCATGGTCTAATATTATCACCGATGACGGCGGGGTTAACACACATTGCTGGATGTGAGCTGTTTCTAATTTATTCAGTTGAGTAGGAAAAATATTTGTAAAAGAAGAAGAATTATCCTTGATGTTTGCGGTTTCTGAAGCAAAAGATGTTTACACATATGGTCTTCCTTAGTTAAAATTGACAATGATTTAAAATGCTGACAACGTTACATTCAACGAAAAGTTGTAAAATTCAAGACACATTGTAATTAATCATTATTTATGTTTATGAGGTTATGCATGAGAGAATGTGTGAGTGAACAAGTGAGAACGAAAGGAAACAAACAACATTTTAATAAACGTTATTTCTCTCATGGAAGAAGGCGTACAATTTCGAAAAGCAATCGGACAGAATGTGGCCCGCGTACCGCTGTGTAGCCATGACTGATTTATATAATCAAATAATATTTTTAAGCGTTTTGTTCGAGGTTTTTGTTCGGTTTATTTTTTATGAAAAAATGCGTCGACTTTTGTCTGTTTCTGGCTAGCCTTACGTTTTTCTGTCAATAACTCGTAAATCTGGATTATGCAGATGGGTTTGTAAGGATGGCTTTTGGTTAAAGGTGTGACCAAGCTGTTAGAATTCAAATATCTGTTCTTTGTATGAAAACAACAAGGTTATTAACAAGAATTAATTGAGCTGATTTTATTAACATTTTTACCAAACGATAAGTGTCGTCTTGTAAATTCTAATAAATATTGTTCGAAATAAAATAGCAGAATGTGTTTAGTTCAGGAAATTGAAAAATGATTTCAGTTTTTTTTCTTCGTTTCACCTACTGAGAACCGAAGTCCGGAATATCGAAACCTGGTAAATCTCAAAACCGGAAAATCGAAACCCGAAAAACTGAAATCCGGAAAATCGATTCCCGGAAAATTGAAGTCCGGAAAATCGAAGTCCGGAAAATCAAAGTCGGGAAAATCGAGGTACAGATAATCGAGGAAGTACCGTATGTAAAATATATATTTTGAGGAGAGACGTAGTCCTACTTTTCCCAAGGACGTACGTACGAAAGTGAACATGACAGACTAGGCTGGAATTTGAACTTAACACACCAATCCCAGTTTGCGCACATGTGATAAAAGAGTTAAATAATTTTACTGGCCTGTAAAAATGATAGAACCCTCTATTACCCCGCCTCTTGAGAGTTCGTAGCGACATCAGGGGCTGCTACCACCCACGTTGAGTGAGAGTCACTGCATAAAATACTGAAACAAGATTACTCCGAGCAAAACAAAACAAAACAAAAAAAAAGTGGTAGCCAGCAAAAAATTAATTTATTGAATTTTTAGTAAATGTTTTAAATATTTGACAATATGTTTCAGGATTATTATCTGTGGCTATTCAGAGCTATAGAATCAAGAACAAAGCGTAATATTTTAGAGGAAAAAATTGCCATTTTTTAATATTTGGCGCGACATGAAAGCCGTAGGAATTACTGAAACTTGGTAAAATTGTTATTGCAGAAATACCGCAATCGTCAGTCAGTTAAGTAGCATACATGATAGCCGTTTGGGCGATCACGTCTCTTTCGATACATGACTGACTAGGCAGAAGATATTCCCGCAGTAGGTTGCCGTTTCTTTCTGCCGTAGACTGGTTGACAACCAATTCTGTCCTGCTATTCAAATCATAGCTGAGGGAAGAAGAGATAAAGCCAGTAAAGTGCCATACGTGATACACGTTTGGGCGATCACGTCTCTTTCGATACATGACTGACGAGGCAGAAGATATTCCCGAAGTAGGTTGCCGTTTCTTTCTGCCGTAGACTGGTTGCCAACCAAGGCTATAGGAAGCAGTCTGCCCTATTTAACCCATAGCTGGGGGAAAAGAGATGGATTCATACCTTCCCCAAGGGTATTTGAGAGGAAGTAACGAACTCGACTGGAATTCGAACTCGGCTTTCCGAGTTCTCATATCCATTACACCACAACGTAGGCGTCACTTGATGTTAAAACGCAACAAAGAAAAAAACAATTTCCAGGACAGGTTGGCTTACGGCCATATCGCGTTGAAACACCGGTTCTCTCTATTTACCAACCTCCCCACAAGGAAAGATGTAGCACAAGGCCAGTTTTTAACGTAGGGCGTTCCGGGGACCGTAGAATCGGGCAAAAATTGCTCATAGACCAAGTATACACGGTGTCGGGTTTGTCCCCAAACGGGACTCTGCCCTTCGACATAGCCTCGTCTGGGTTCCTCTTCACAAGAGAGGTTCTCGTCCGACTATCGAAGTTAAACAACGTCAAACCTGGTTAGTACCTGAATGGGTGACCGCTTGGGAATACCAAGTGCTGTAAGTTTCGATGTATTCTTGATCTAATGGACAACGACTCGAAATTGGAAATCGAAGTACCAAGTTCCAATTCCAATCGGGTTAATTATATTCACTTACGAGTATATACCCCCAAGAAAGGTATAAATCCATCTCTTCTCCTCCCAGTTATGGATTAATTAGTAGTTATATCATGAAATCATTATTATCTCCCTCGCCAATAAATAATTCTTAAAATCCCAAAATATTTTTTGCTTTAAATGACCCGAAGGTTTGATAAACTGTAAAAAATAAATCTATCAATTCAGGACAGGTTGGATTGGGTTGAGCCGATTGATTTTATGGTATTTTAACAAATACTGGTCCATTTAATGACGAAATCATTTTTTTTTGTTTTCTTTCTTTTTTTGTTTGTTTGTTTTTTTTTTTTTTTGTAATTAGGTTGAGTCAAAAATAAGTTTTCTTTTTTAGGCAACAATTGTAATGACCAAATATATCATCCCAACTATTAATCATACATGACAGTTTGAACTACACTAACATAAGTTTTTTACTGCAGTGGCAGCGTACACAGCGGATACTTTTAAAATCATTTCGCCCAAGCAAGGAGATAATGCCACTAAGACGCCAGGTATTACTGGAAGTGAAAGAGAATAAGATTTTACTGAAAAGAAAGAAAAATAAATGAACATAATTCAAGAAAACAGATGTTGATTGGCGATGCATGAAAATTCTTGAAGTTTGTAGGTAGCAGGGAAGCGGAAAAGAATTCCACAAGCGAGAGGTGCGAAAAAAGTAACTATTATAATAGAAGTTACGGTTGCATCTAGCTATTTCAACAGTAAAACGGTTACACCTAGTTGCCATTCTAGTAGTACGCTTAAAAGGGGAAAAGCTCATCAGAACAATTGCCATGAAAATATTACTAGAAAAGACAAAGGGAAGCCATTTTACTGAAGTCAAGATGCCAGGTCAGATTACATTACAAACCCATCCTTGAATTTTATGAACTAGATTGGTCTCTTCTATCCTACCGATTATATTCACCTAACCTTACAGCAACCAAAAATTCAATTAGCTTATTTTTATGTATTACACAATGTTTTTTTCGAAACTGTAATGTGAATTGTAGTATTCACATTGATCCAGTACAAGGGGAGGAACAGACCTGCATGCATCCTGACAACGAAAATAAGACATGCAAATGTTATGAGACTGGAGGAATTGTAGAATTAATCACTTTTATGTTTATATTTAAGGATATTTGAAGTGATAAATGCCTCCCATTTGAATGAACTCCTCCTACAACTCAAGATGGGATAGAGGAATACAGCGTGAAAATTGTTTCATTATAAATCTTCTGTCACTCCTCTTGACAGTAAACCCAACATTTTTCTAATTCACTCTCTCTCTCTCTCTCTCTCTCTCTCCACAAAGATTATGTTAAAATCACAGGTTTGGGCAGGTTTATACTGCAGTGTTTTTATCAGTGATAACCTTTTGTGTTACACACAATATATTCGCAAGGTGATCCATCATGTTGGAATATTTCACCTTCAGCTATATTTGGTGATAGATGTGAAACTTGGGCAAAGTAATATATTTTTCAGTGTTCAGTGTTCTATCGATTTTTGTCGACTTTCTTGTACCGTTGTTTTTTTTGTCTTTGTTTTTTCCTAATGTAAACCCAAGCCATTAAATTTTACGGTCTTTCTTGTGTATTTTGAAATGTTTCTTGTACTATTCGATCTTCGTCGTACGAATTCAGTTCTGTTTTGCTTTCGTTACAAACATTCCTTTTGTCCATTACATTATGTAACACGATTTTTTGTCCTTGGATAACAACTTTTATTTCCTACAGTGATTTTCCAAGCATAGCTTAGATGTGGCACAAGGTCGAAATTAGGGGTGTACCCAGTTATGATCGAACTCACTACACAGTCGTAATTGTTCTAGCGAGACAAACTTGCTAACCATTACACCACCTCAAGGTGGCTAAAGATGTGGCACAAAGCCGAAAGTGTGGGGCACCCGTGAGAATCGAACTCACTACTCAGTCGTAATTGTTCTAGCGAGACAAGCTTGCTAACCATTACACAACTTTGAGGTGCCCTTTTTTCTAAGCATAGCTTAGATGTTGCACAAAGTCGAAAGAATGGAGTACCCAGTGAGGATCGAACTAACTATTCATTCGTAATTGTTCTAGCGAGACAAACTTGCTAACCTTTACACAACCTCGAGATGGCCAAAGGTTTTCTAAGCGTAACTTAGATATGGCACAAGGCCGAAAGTGTGGGGAACCCAGTGAGGATCGAACTCACTATTCAGTCGTAATTGTTCTAGCGAGACAAGCTTGTTAACCATTACACCACGTTGAGTTGCCCAACTGTTATTTTCCTACATGTTTACGACAAGGAAGTATGAAAAATGCCTAATATTTTTGTTTTTATGACATTATGGTATTTTTGAATTTTATCTATTGCCACTGAGAAAACTGACAAATGTGAACAAACTCGTTCACACAAAGCAGGAACAAAACAACATCTGATTCAAAAGTAGCATTCATTTATTCTAGGATTACACAAGAACAGTCTCGTTCACGCAAAATAGGAACAAAATGACATATGATTCAAAAGTATCATTTATTTATTCTAGGATTACACAAGAACAGTCTCGTTCACACAAAGCAGGAAGAAAACAACATCTGATTCAAAAGTAGCATTTATTTATTCTAGGATTACACAAGAACAGTCTCGTTCACATAAAGTAGTAACAAAACGACATCTGATTCAAAAGTATCATTTATTCATTCTAGGATTACACAAGAACAGTCTCGTTCTCATAAAGTAGTAACAAAACGACATCTGATTCAAAAGTATCATTTATTCATTCTGGGATTACACGAGTGACCACAAACAAATTAGAAGTGAGTAGTTTTTCGCCATTTAGGTTTATACTGTAAAATAGTTTCAGGAATCAGCTCCCAAATATAGTTATCCCAACATATTTTCGTCATACGATCCTTGGTAGCGGCATTCAAAGTTCAGTATATCTTGGGTGGAAGCGCTTGCCTTGCTTCTCTGAGTACGACCCCCCCATTGCTCTCTTTGGATTTATCAAGATGAGCATCAAGGATATGAACTTTGAGAGACATCCTGCAGCCCCATTCTGCCATAATTCTTCACTAGGGTCTCAACAAGCTCCACAGAGTTTTCGGCCTTGTGATCCCCCAGGAATCCCCGAACCACTAAGGTAAAGCTGGTCCACGCTGCTTTCTCCGTCCTAGTGAGCTTCTTTAAGAATTCCTTAGATTCTATGATATTTATTTGTGGTCCGACGAAAACATTGGCTTTGACTTTTGCTGCAGACAACTTAGGGAGGAAGTCTTAAAAGAACTTGAAGGCTGCAGACTCTTTATCTAGTGCAATAGAGGAAAGTACTTTCCTGGGGTTCACCAGTTACTCCCATTTGACGTTCTTCCTTGCCACAGTGAACTCAGTCCTCTACGTATAATCCCGTCTACGGTAGTGTGCGAGTGTTCCTGATGTCTCAAAGGCAAAGATTACACGAAAACTTGCTGAAGCCGCATTGAAGACCCACGAGGAAGGCTACCATTTTGAAATCTCCGATAACCTCCCAGCCGTACTCTTCATATTTCAAGGCATTTAGCAAGATCTTGACACTCCTGTATTCCTCTTTGAACTGCACCGTGTAAGTCATGGGAATAGATTGATACATGCTCCCGTTATGAAGCAACCCGGTATTGAGGCTCCTGGATGTTTCTGTCGATGAAGAAGCGTCACTCATTGCGGTTACAGGCAATCCCAATTGCCTCGAACAGACTGGTCATATTTTGGCATAAGTAAAGTCCAGCTTGACAGGGGAAAAAGAATGAAAAACGCTGGTAACGCCTTCTAGGACCTGCGATTTGCACCCTTTCATCTAACAAATTCCATTGCTTGAGTCTTGACGTCAGAAGCTTGGCATTAGACTTTGTGAGAGAAAGATCTCTGGTCGGGTCGTTGAGTTCTTTTTGGTTGGGGTAGCATGGGTTTCTCTCCTCAGCTGCTCCTCTGAAATCTGAATCATTGACTTCATCATCATTTGAATTACTGTCCTCTTCTGAAGACAGCTGTTCTCTCCTCGGAGAAGTGGGTACAAAGAGCTTATGGCAATGTAGCACCAGAACGATGGATAAATGATAAGAGGCGCATTCTTGCTAGTTCGACATATGAAAGAATCCAACAGAAGAATTAAATGGTAGGTTCCAACCAAATTCGTGGTACTGCGAATTTCATTCTACCCTCTATCCAGGTCACAAGAGCAAAAGCTGAAGGGAATAATGATCAATCCTTTTGCTTTCTAGACTAAACTCTTTAGGAAATAATAAGTCTTATTGACCAAAGACAAATAATTCAAAATTTTGTTGCTCTATAATTGTTATGAGATCTTACCCATAATAATAATAATAATAATGGACTATTCCATACTTAATAAATACTGCGCCTCAGGAGTAGGCAAGGAATCAGTCAGTCGCTTTCTCAACCGACTGTTCGGTTGAACTCTCTGCCGTCGGGCGGGGAGGAACACGAACGAGGCAACGCCGAGGAGCGGAGTCTCGTTTGGGGAAGTAAACCGACCCTGAGCCCGTTTATACGGGTTCAATGGGCATATTTTCGGGCCGAGCCCATGGGCTCGGAGAACCCACAATAAATAACCGACCTTGTGTCACATGCTGCCCCAGTGGGGGGGGGTGACTGAATATCGTCAGTCGTTCACTTCTGAACCGATTGTTCGGTTGAACTCTCTGCCTTCGGGCGGGGAGGAACCCAAAGGAGGCTACGCCGAAAGTCGGATTCTCTTTCTGGGAGGTAAACCGACTCTGAACCCGTTTTGTACGGGTTTAATGGGCATATTTTTGGCCGAGCCCACGGGCTCGGAGAGCCCACGTTGAAAAAGCCTTGTGCCACATGACGCCCTCGTGGGGGGGGGTGACTGAATATCGTCAGTCAGTCGTTCAAGTCT